CGAGAGGGTGAGAGGGAGATGGCGGACTGAGAAGAGGAAGAAGGACTCTCTCTCTCTCTCTCATATGTCAGGTACTAACCTGTGAAGATGGCGCTGTGCTGCAGGTACCTCGAAGGCGAAGCTGGGGCTATGGCGCTGCAGGTAGGTATCCCTGGCCTCCGCCCAATCTCTCTCCCTCTCTAGTACTGCTCTAGCTCCTATGGCGCCAAGCGTTGAAGACTACTGCTAACGCTACTAGCGCCCAGCGCTGAAGACTACTGCTAGTGCTACTACTACTCCTGCAACACTCCTCCAGAGTGCTCCTGCCGAATCCTAAAGACTACCTCCTGCCTTTTGAACTGCACGTGAAGTGCATGGGAAGTACCTAGGAACTACCTCCGGCCTGCTGGGCGGGCCAGTCCTATATAGTGCTGGCCCGTCTAGGAGGCTGCTCTTGCCAATGTCGAAACGTGCCAAACCCTGGCGTTGAAGCTCAACCAGGGGTTGTCTTGAAAACAAGCTTGAAATGGCCTGTGCTAAAACCTTGGTTTGTTGCCTGAGTTTCAGGGCGGGTCGGATTGATGAGGGCCTGAAAATGACCCTCAGTTTCAGGCTGAAAACACTCAGGGCCGGAAAGGCTCTAATTTAGCCTGAAACGACAGAGGGCATGTAGGCCCTTGTTTTCAGGCTTTCAGGCTGAAACGACACAGGGCCTGTAGGCCTTTGTTTTCAGGCTTTTGGCCTGAAAACGTCACGGGCCTGAAAGGGGGCCCGTGCAGCCTGTTGCAGGCGCAGCATGTAACACCCCCCCCCTCCTTATGAATTCAAGCCGGGGCGAGGGCGAAGCTCACGATCTGATGGTGGAACGTGGATGCGGGTGCGACGTGGAGCCGAAGATACCGGCTTGGCTTGCATCTTGCGTTCGTAGCGTGCGAGAACATCCGAAGCTGTTGCTTGGAGTTCCGCACGGGTCAACCAACGGTCAGCTCTGTGACTGTTGTAGGCAAAGTGTACCAAGTACTCGGTTGGCCTGTTGCCGTAACGCCGCTAGGAGATGATGTCGCCGACCTCTTGAAAACTGTCCATAGAGGGTAGGTCTTGCGATCGTGGCCCGGGAAAATAGTCGTGTTCCGCTGGTGTGTAAAGAGCCAGCTTTGAGCAATGAAAGACGGGGTAGACGGGCAAGTGGGCGGGCACCTGAATAGTGAAGGAAGGTCCCTCGGGTGCATCCCCAGCAGGTGCCACGATCGGCCAGGGCCCCATCCATTTCGGGAGGAGCTTGCGAGAGATATCTTGTTCAAGGTTGAATTCCACGGCGGAAACCCAAACGAGATCGTCGGCGTGGAATGGGCAAGGAAGACGTTGGCGATTGGCCTGTTGGCTCATGCGTTGTTGCGTCTTGGCCATCTGGTCGCATGCCTTGACAAGTAGCTCTTGCATCCGACGCAAGAAAAGAAGATGGTCATTGCTCTCGGCCATTCGTGGAATGATTGTGCCCAACGGCGAAGTGACCGGCGAGTCGTGCTCAAACTCGAAGGGCGACATCCCGATAGCTGGGTGGATGGACGGGTTGTATGCCAACTCGACATCCGACAGCCGCTCAACCCAATCCTTTTCGTCAGGACGGATGAGAGTGCGGAGGAGAACCTGTGCGGTCTAATGCGCCCTCTCCGTTTGGCCATCCATTTGGGGGTGGCGTGCCGAACTTGGCATGAGAGATGAGCCCGATCGTTTGATGAGCGCCAACCAAAAATCGGACATGAACCGAGTGTCGCGATCGCAGACGATTTCCTTGGGGTAACCCTTGGTTCAAATCCAACCGGCGTAAAGAACCTCGGCCAACTCCGGTGCCTTGGCATGATAGCGGCAAGGCAAAAACATGGTGAACTTGGTGAGTCGGTCGACCACCATGAGAATCCCATCCACACCGGTCTTGTGCTTGGGGAATGGCCCGGTAATGTCCATGGCAATTGCTTCCCTTCAGCACAAGGGGACCGGTAACGGTTGCAACTCGCCGTACAGACGATGGTTGCGGGATTTGCAGTGTCGGCAAACCTCGCATGACTCGCAATAGCGTGTGACGTCGTCGAGAAGGCCGGGCCACCAAAATCGCTCGCGAAGTGGGCCAATCATGCGATTGACTCCGAAGTGTCCGGTGGCGGGAGCATCGTGGAACTCGCCAAGAAGCCGTGTACGCAAGTGAGAGTCACTCGGTACGCAAAGGTCCTTCCCCCGCGTGTGGACAATCAAGTACCCCTCTTGGATCCGATAGTGAGAAGGCGCCGGATTAGGAGAGGAGCAATTCGCGTACTTGTCGCGAAACTCGAGGTCGCCTTGGTAGCCGCGGATGAAACTGTCTCGCAGGTCGTCGTCGATCTTGAAGGTCGAGTAGACTGCGGTACAATGATCCGGACGCCGTGAAAGAGCATCCGCAAAACGGTTTGACTTCCCCGGAATATGATTGGGAAAGAAGTCAAATTGGTCGATGAAAGCCATCCATCGGGCGATGGTGCTGTTGACGGTGTCTTGGGTCTTGTAGAAGACCAACGGATTGTTGTCCGTTACCCATCGGAATTGGCTTCGACCAAGGAGGAAGTGCCGCCACCGCTTGAGCGCGTGAACGAAGGTGAGGAGCTCCTTCTTGCATGCATCGTCAATGGAGTGCATGACAGGCACTTTCTTGCTGAAATACTCGACCGGGTGCCAATCCACGCCATCGTGTTGCTCGAGGACGACACCAATGCCACAGCCGGACGCATCCGTAGTGACGCTCGTAGGCAAAAGCGGGTCATATATGCGCAAGACCTCCGCAGATAATAGCACGGCTTTGAGAGCCAAAAATGATTCCCGCGCATCCTCTCCGAAGTCAAACGGCCGATCCTCGCATTGAAGCTTGGTCAAGTGGGCTGCGATCTTCGAGTATCCCTTGATAAAACGTTGGTAGTAGCCGGCGAGGCCAAGGAACGAACCGACATCCGTGACGTTCCGTGGCTCCGGCCACTCTTGGATGGCTTGAATCTTGTCCGATGGCGGACTGATGCCCTCCGGTGTGACAAAATGGCCCAAGTATTCCAGCTCTTGCCGGACAAATTCGCACTTGTCGTGGTTGGCCTTGTACTTGGCGCGGCAGGAGCATCTCCAACACTCGTCAAAGGTGCTCAAGATGATCCTCCAATGACCGGCTATAGACGAGAATATCGTTTAAGTAGACCAGCACGAACCGGTCCAATGTCGCACGGAACTCAGTGGTCATTGCCGCTTGAAAGGTCGCCGGGGCGTTGGTGAGGCCAAAAGGCATGACCACCCACTCAAAATGCCCGTACCGCGTCTTGAATGCGGATTTGAAGCGATTGATCGGCCTCGATATCTGATGGTATCCCGACTTCAAATCCAACTTAAAAAAATACTTTGCGTCGTCCAATCGCTCAAGAAGATCGTCGATACGAGGAAGAGGCCCCGCATTCTTGACAGTTTGCGCGTTGAGCTTGCGGTAGTCGATGCATAATCGTAGATCCTTGTTCTTCTTCCGTACGAAGAGAACTGACGCACGGTATGGTGAGCTACTAGGGCGGATCCAGCCCTTGTCCAACAAGTCATCGAGTTGCGCGCGGAGGACCGTAAGCTCCTCCTCGCTCATGCGATAAATACAACCTTTCGGCGGCACGACACCGGCCTCAAGAATGATCTCGTGAGAGATCGGCCGATCCGGCACCACACCGGTAGGTGACTCGAAGATGTCGGCGAACTCGTCAAGCAACCGCACCACACGGGGGTCCGAAGACAAATCCGTGGGTGAAGAGTCGGCTACCGCGACGGTCCGTAGGAGACATAGGCCGATTTCGTCGGGCTGCTCATAAGCGCAAGTAGCCCGGAATGACTTGGTCGTCACCACTTGGCACCGAATCGAAGGGTGCGAAAGAGGAATAGTACACGGTACTTCGGCGCCGAAAGCGTCACGAACGGTAAGAGTCCGCCTGTGGAAGTCGACTGTGTGATCCGCACTTGCAAGCCAAAGCATTCCCAAAATAGTTTCGAAGTCCTTGTCCGAAATGTCGAATGTCACCGGTTCGCATGCATGAGGTGCGAAATACACTGGTACGGCCTCGATGTAGCAGTCCATAAGTTGCTGCGTGCTTTCGTCCGCCAACTTGATCGCCGTCGGGTTTGCCTTCCTCCGAACTTGTGCGCCAAGGCCAGCCCTTTGCATAAAGGTTTGGCTCATAAAATTGCGAGACGCGCTGCTATCCAGCAAAGCGGTGCAGGATGCTTGCCCAACTTGGATGTGGACATAGAGGAGCGGTGCGTTGTTGTCGTCGTACCGCTGATTGCAAAACTCGCGGGCCACCTTGGTAGCATACGCAAGGATGTCCCCCACCGCGACTTTGTCATCCGCCGGCGAAGTTGGTGGTGCATAGAAGGATAAGTACATGTGAAGATGGGCACATAATGCTGCGCATTGCAGTCCCGACAAGCGGCCCGTGGTCGGGAGAGGAAGCCATGCGAAATCCTCGGACGTGAGCGGGTCCAATACCTCTATGTTGAACACGCGCGCCGAATCCCGTGAAGAACCACTTGAAGACGATAAGTCGCCGCTGTCGGACGGAGAAGATGCCACACACACGTATTGTCCTTGAGCATGAGTACCCAGCGTAGGAACGAGCCGAGCAGCATAGTCCTCAAAAGAATAAAGAAGAGGAGGACTGTCGACTTCCGCATGTGCCTCGGAACGAAGGGCGGTCACCCGCGAAGTGACCGGTTCTGAAGGCGTCGAGAGTGTCGTCGAGTCACTCCCGGCGGTGCTCAGTTAACCGATTTGTCCTTGCCTTTCGACTGCCAGGCCATTGTGTCGTGGAGATCGCTGTTACACCACGGACAATAGCGGAATTTGAGAATGGGCACCACTGCAGAGGGCGCCAGCAGTCAGGAAACCTGGACCAGGGACCAAGCCCTGGCTGAGTTTGTAACAGTCAAGGCAAACGGGTAAGGAATGCAGGTCGTGTAGGGGGATGAGGACACGGAGGGGAAGAAGAGACTGGAGGGGGGAACAGGGGTTTAGGGCGGAGGGAGGGGAACAGGTGGTAAGGAAAGGAGAGGGCAGTATAATGACGAAGGACCTGAATCATGAGAGGGATGGTCTAAATGTGGATTATGCAGGTGATGGACGGAGATCAATGAAGAGAGAAAGAGCGACGGACAGAGGAAGACCAGGTCCGCTGAGGCCACGTCGAGTGTTGGAGGAGGAGCTCGAAGGGGATCCCAACGGAGGAGAGAAAGGCGTGGAGAAAAGAGGGAAGAGAGGGGCGATGGACACAGGGCAAGGAGAAAAGACGAGGAGGAAAATCGGATTGGTGGGAGGAAGAATTTCGTGAGGGGGCATGGAGGGCACACGTTGAAAGATGAAGGGAGGCAATGGAGTAGGAAAGGAGGGAAAAAAGCGAGCGGGTAGGGAAGAATGTGTGTGTGTGTGTGTGTGTGTGTGTGTGTGTGTGTGTGTGTGTGTGTGTGAGAGAGAGAGAGAGAGAGAGAGAGAGAGAGA